AATAACTATCAATATTATTTGTTATTATTATAAATATTTAATGAAAAAAGTTAAACCTAGCAACAGCGTACCATGTAGTTTGTGGCTTGTACATTGGCAGTAATGCACTATGCAGGCAGGTTAGATTAAACAATAAAAGTCTCAAATTTCACACTTATCCTATTTTTCATCGAAATTATTTAATTTGTATTCTTGTCCTCTGTATGAAACAATGCAATGAGACAAAACAAGAATTTATGACGTAACTTTATTATACTGATTTATAGGTTATTCGTTTGACATACCAGCTGATTGCAACGTTGCCGCATTTCCACAGTCCAGTTACTAACTCCTTATGACAATCACAAAATTGTCACAAATAAAAATTAATTTCTCTGAAACTATGTTGTGAAAACTAATCAAATTCTGCAAATAGTTCCGATAATTCAGGATCTATATGTATAAAAATACTTAAAATTTTAGTACTATTTTTTCTATACGTTTTTACTCATTATATTCAGAAAAGTTGCTTTTGCCATAAGAACACGTGTAAAATTAACATAATAATTACTCTTCAACAATTTAGTGAATCGACTTGAAATTTTTTTTAATATATTATAAATAATTAAGGAAAAATTACTCAAAGTTTTATCGAATTGGTACTATTTTTATATAGCTCAGATACATCCTTAACATCATTAACTCACAACGGCTTGTTTCGCAACGTACCTCTTCCATGCGAAGTATTTGACGATATTTCGTCACGACGAACGCGCGAGACTTATTTCGGTACTTCCGATAATATTCGCGTACATCACTCTCCTTTGATGGATAGGCGATGCGAAGGATAAGGACTCACGGCTCGCATTTTCGGTCGCCATTTGCATCATAAATTTACAACGGCTTGTTTCGCGACGAACCTCTTCCGTGCAAGATATTTGACGATGTCTCGCCACGACGAACGCGTAACACTTACCTTCGGCACTTCCAGCGATGATCCATGCACGAAACTCATCCTGCCCGAAATTGCACAAACAACGTAAGACGATTTCAGCAATACGTTATTGCAGCACCACAATTCGTTTTGGCCAACTCATCATGACTCAGTATGAGGACTCAGTATGACTCAACACACCTCTTCCATGCGAAATATTTGACGATATTTCGTCACGCCGAACGCTATTGGTTAACGAATAAGGGGTTTTTAGATCCGTTATTTCTGATTGGCTGAAATAGTTCCAAAGTCTCCGTTATGAGTCGCCACTTTCCCGATGGGACTGAATACGGCAGAGAGAACATCATTGAAATATATACTACCTGGAACGCGCGCGGGTGTATATCAGTTGGACACGGGGCAATTGGACACAATCCAATCACAAGTCGCTGTTCCAAGGGACCCTACAAATGTCTCTAATCACACGGTGCTGATTGGCTGTGTCCAAATGCACCGTGTCCAAGTGCACCGCTCCTAACGCGCGCTACCTCTTGAGGCGTGCATGATGAGAGAGAAGTTCCTTGTTTCTTCTTTTATCCTTGTCTGGCTTCTAATGTATTGTAAACAAGTCTTAACCAAAAAAAAAAAAACCAATATGGCAGGAAAAATCATGCCAAATCCCAAAAATATCCGAAAAACGCAATTTACGAAAAAAACGCCCCTCACCATTCTTCAATAGTTTTCAACGAGGAATACGATGATGTCCTTGGTTTTAACCTTGACTCCAAATGTCATTTTCAAGGTCATTTCTCTTCTTTGATGGATAGGCGATGCGAAGGATAAGGACTCACGGCTCGCATTTTCGGTCGCCATTTGCATCATAAACACACGAATTCGCAACGGCTTGTTTCGCGACGTACCTCTTCCGTGCAAGATATTTGACGATATCTCGCCACGACGAACGCGTAACACTTACCTTCGGCACTTCTAGCGATGATCCATGCACGAAACTCATCCTGGCCAAAATTGCACAAACAACGTAAGACGATTTCTGAAATACGTTATTGCAGCACCACAATTCGTTTTGGCCAACTCAGTATGACTCAGTATGGCCAATATGAGGAACACTCAACACAGGCCGAACGTAATTGGTTAACGAATAAGGGGTTTTTAGATCCGTTATTTCTGATTGGCTGTAATAGTTCCAAAGGCTCCGTTACGTGTCGCCACTTTCCCGATGGGATTGAATACGGCAGAAAGAACATCATTGAAATATATACTACCTGGAACGCGCGCTACCTTTTGAGGCGTGCGTGATGAGAGAGAAGTTCCTTATTTCTTCTTTTATCCTTGTCTGGTTTCTAATGTATTGTAAACAAGCCTTAACGCGCAATAGTGCAAGCTACCGAATTTGCTATGAGAAACGCATATGAAAATCTACAGTATACGTAACGTGAATTATACATTTTCGCATACGTATCTCATACCGTCAAGAATCGAGCCCCAGGTTTCTCTCTGCTTGAAGCAACGCAGTAGCCAATAATCTTCTAGCTCTTGTGAGAATACGGCGTATTGATTCGCTATCGCATCGCTTCTTGCCGCGCTGCAAACGTTCCCGCCTTTCATGTGCAGAAGCATTAGGAATCTCGTATATCATTCGTAAAAGGCTTCGTCTTGCTGATGCTTTTGATTCATGGGTTGCGTGTGCCGGCTGTTTCAAGCATCAAAACAAGTCTGTACGTGTTGTGTTGCAGTGATCGTCTTTGACGAATCGACCAAGTAAAAAAGAAGATATGAGTCGCAGGAAAAGAGCGAAGGTGCGTAATGTAATCTTTTTGACTTGTTCAAATTCTTTTATGATAATGTTTTCTTTTTTAATTCGTAATATTTACGATTACGTATGTCAACATCGATTATAAGAATAAAACCATGTCGTTGTTCCTGGCTTTTATTCCTGGCATAATATTTTTTGGTTATACACAAAAATTTCATTTGTTTGTTTATAAATGTCTAAGTGAGGTTATATTTTGTATACATATAGGATTATCTATTTTGGTATGATACATTCAGTTGCTTTGAAATTTTCAATATATATATATATATATTATATTGCTTATTTCTGTTTGTAAAGATATTTTTTATGAGTATGTTATCATTAATTCTTATAAATAATTTGATCGTAGGTGGAATACAGGGAAATGGAGGAAAAGTACAACCAGTTGGATGACGATAACGCCTCAGATACAGAGAAACCAAAACCTGGTTTAGTAACTCCAGAGAAGAAAGTTCCTACAGATGGGAGGAAAGAATCCGAATCCACAACACCTACTTCAGTACCTTCTGCTTCAAAATCTGAAGTTAAAGAGGAAGATGAACAAGAGAGTGATCACGAAGATACACATGGTATTTTATTAATTAGTTGTTTCTTTCAAACAGGCTTGGATAAGATAATTTTCTTTTTATCTAAGTAAACTTTGTAAGAGTGGATAGTCTATAAAATGAATATAAATGGTTCAATTAAAAGGTACATAAACATAAATTAACTTAATTAAAAGTTAAATTAAAATTAAATTCTTATTAAAGTTCAAGGTTAATTATGCAAAACAATAGATGTTCTTATATATATATTTTTGTATAAGATTTTAATTAAAAATTAAACTTATGTAAAATTATATAAAAATAATATTTTACAAGAGAACAAATTTACAATTGTTTTGCGTTCAGGATTTCATACAAAAAAAGAACACTAATGTTCAGAGAAACAATACATTTTGCTGGCATTATTTTTAATTTTTTTATTCTATTTTCCTTATTCTATTTGTAAGAAGCCTAAGAATAATTTTAAGAATAATTTTAACATTGATAAATAATTTTAACTTATTTAAAAAAGCTTGATAAATGTAAGTTAATGCGTTTTAAAACAACTAAATTAAGAGTTAACCCATTTAAAATTACATAAAGGTTTTTAACTTTTTAATTTTTAATCGATTAATTATTATCCAACTCTGCTTGTAATTAATCAAGTCAATTCTTCTATTATAATCAAAATTAATATATTAATATTTTTTCTCTATTCACGTACAGTGAAGGAATTACTTAATGGATTAGAAGGTGCGGCTTTTCAGAGTCGTCTTCCATTCGATAAATTGACATCCACTGAAGCTGCATGCTTTCCTGACATTTCTGGTGGACCGCCACAAACGCAGAAAGTGTTCTTGCACATTAGAAATAGACTTGTAAGTATTGAACTATAAAGTGTACGATTGTATTGTTTTTCTTTATCTTTTAATATAATTGTTGTTTTAGTTGCAAATTTGGCTGGAAAATCCGAAGCAACAGTTGATCATCGAAAATGCATTACCTGCCATCGAACCACCTTATAACAGCGACCCAGCACTCGCTCGTAGAATACACGCTTTTTTAGAACGTCATGGTTTTATAAATTTTGGAGTCTTTAAACGTCTGAAGGTAATATAACATATATGAGCGATTTTTCCAACTTCTTGATAGGCTAACTAATAGTTGAATCATATATCTTATTTTTCCTTCAAATTAGACAGACAGATACTTGATTTAACTGTTAGTTTATTAAGAGATTGAAAAACCGGCCCATAAATGTGTAATCAATTCGAATCGAATTATTGCAGGTTCGATTCGAGTTTGTTTTTGAATCAAAGATTCGAATTTGAGTAATTTGTTGATTTCAAATCGATCGTTTTTTTTGGGTCGACTCATTCATTCTCACTCGATCAATCTGTTTCATTAGCGTATTTGTATCCTCGCGCGTTTATATGTGTTACATAGAGATATTGGTGTTTCGATATTCACTGCTAGTACTGAAAAAATCGTTAGTTCATATTAGACTGTATCACATAGCAATTGGCGACTGTCTGCGTTCTCGTTTGCGTCCACGATTGTCTCTTGGTTAGCCAGAAAAATCACAGCTCCTTAAAACTTTATGTATGCTATAGATCTCTATCACTGGCAATGAATATCGGATCGTAGTCATTAAACACACACCCACACACACACACATACACACACACACGCACGCGCGCACACACACGCGCGCGCGCGCGCGCGTGTGTGTGTGTGTATTATCTCGCTTATCGTATATCAAGATAAGTTATTAAAAAATATATTTTTTGTTACAGTCAGGCTAACACATATGAATTCAGAAAAATTTGATTCAAATTTGATTCGTATTCAAATTAAGATTTGATTTGAGTTCAGAGTTCAGAAGGAATTTTCAGATATTAGATTTGGTCGTGCAAAATCATAATTTGCACACACGATTCTTCTAGTAATATATGGGAAAAATATTGTATTTATATCCTGCAGTTTATTGTTTTAAAGATTGACAACATTTTTACTTTACATTCGCGTTTTAATATCGCTTTTATATTGGACTCATATTGCGATTTCTATTTTACATAAATAGATATGTTGAAAAAATAAGGAATTGCATTTTTGTTTGTTACAGCCTGTACCTACAAAAAAGTTAGGTAAAGTTATTGTGATAGGAGCTGGTATTGCTGGCTTGGCAGCAGCTCAGCAAATGCAACAGTTCGGGTTAGATGTAGTAGTGTTTGAAGCTAGGGTAAGTACGAAAGTACAATATTATTGTATCTTTCATATAATTTCATTCTTATTATATTATTGCTGATTACATTCATATACATATAGGATCGTGTTGGTGGACGAATCGCTACATTTCGTAAATCATCTTACATCGCGGATTTGGGGGCCATGGTAGTTACAGGTTTAGGTGGAAATCCCGTAACAACTCTCAGCAAGCAGATTAATATGGAGCTTCATAAAATACGACAAAAGTGTCCCCTGTACGAAAGTGATGGTCAAACGGTAAACACAAAAGTTTTGTCAAAGACGGATTTTTCATTGGTTTTTTATTAAAGTCTGTACAACAAAACTGTACTACAATTTATTATTATAAGTTTTGTCACGTATAGATAATCTTTATTAGTACAGAACTACTCCAATATAATAGCTTAATAATGCAATAAAAATTAAGTGTACGGTGTTTTACTCTTTTGCAGGTCCCAAAAGATAAAGATGAAATGGTCGAAAGAGAATTCAATAGATTACTGGAAGCCACTTCTTATCTTTCACATCAATTAGATTTCAATTATGTAGGCAGTACTGGGTCCGGTGGGCAAAGTAGTAATACACGTCCAGTATCTTTGGGACAAGCGTTAGAATGGGTAATACGTTTACAAGAACAAGGCGTGAAGCAGCGTCAAGTAGCTCATCTTCGTTCTGTCCTCTCGTTACAAGGACGATTAGTTACTAATCAACACAGAGTATGTATTAAACTGTTTTTTGATTAAGTATTTTTCAGTTTGTCGTGTGAAATTTTTACATGATAAATCAAATTATAATTAACTTGTAGATGATTTCTATCATGGACCGTTTGGTGGAATTGAATAAGCAATACAAGGACATGGCTGAGTGTAAACCACAAAATCGAGATATCACGCAGGAATTTGTGCTCCGTTCTAAATTACGTGATCTCCATAATGCTTGCAAAGTATGTGGTTTGACAAAGGATGCGTTTCTATTATGAAGTTATAGATAAGATATGATACATGTATTTTTTGTACTGTAGGAATGGGATCAATTGTCAGACCAGCAAAAGGAAATCGAGGCAAAACTACAAGAATTGGAGGCTTCACCACCCAGGTAATTCTCTATACGTTTTAATTGTATACATCGAATTATAAACGTGTCGAAATTAATAAATCAATGTCTTTTCTTTTATTCAAACAGCGATGTCTACTTATCATCCAAGGACCGACAGATATTGGATTGGCACTTCGCAAATTTAGAATTCGCCAATGCAACGTCGCTGTCAAATTTGAGCCTGAAACACTGGGATCAAGATGACGATTTCGAATTCACCGGAAGTCACCTGACCGGTGAGTACATTTACTATTTGATTGGTATATGGGTTTTTGCGTGTGTAAAACACTTGGTAAATCACGAAACAAAAATACGTATGAATGTATCATTTTTTGCCATACGTAATTTTTTTTCTGTAATACGTACATAATTTATAACGAGACAAGTAGGTAACTAAAATTGATAAACATAACGTGCACTGCGACGCGAATAATTGTGCGTGCAGTATTATTTTCTTAAATCGGAAAAGAACAGCGTATACTATTAATTATTTGCGAACTAACGCTCTCTCAACTAATGATATTGCATGTTTCAAAGCGTGTACGATCCTACAGTTAGATTCGTGGTGTACTCGTGTTTGCTAAAACACGCACACACTAGCTAGACTGCCGATGTTCTCTGGAAATTGCTGAACCAGAGAGGAGATGGTGGAGATAATGAGTGAATTATTCGCGAGTTGCATCTCCTTTATAGGCGTTTGATACTCTCGCTCTTCGCCTCCCTATAGTTGACTTTATCAACCTTATTGAAAGCCGATAGCATGAGATTCCGTGTAGATAGTCGCCGTATCCACCGACCGATCGAGTACCAGAGTTCTCATTATGTGAAATTATACTATGATCATAGCCCGTAAAGTCTTACGAGCTTACTAAGGCGGCGACAGAAAAGCACGCTGTTAAAAATACTTTATGCTCGTCGGCGGACAAGTATTTTTGCGTCTCGTGTTGGCAAATAGGTCGTTGCCAAGTATTTTGATTTTATGAGATACATTTTGATATCGGAACGTGTGTTTGCAGCATACGTGCGTTGCTCAGTATTTATCTTTTTATCATGCGGGATATTAAACATGTATGAAATCGATGAAATTTTAATTTCTCAACAATCATGTAAAGATTATTAAATACCGATCTAAGTTAATTAACGATCGGTAAGTATCTAAAGGCGATGATTTGAGAGATATTAGTGTTCCGAGAAGTTTTTTTATAATCTCTTATATTGAAAAATTTTCGGAGCAATTAAGAAACAGCATTAAAGCTTATACTTTCGCACATCGTATGTCTGTTTTAACAAACAAAAACTTTATTAGAGTTCCTAAAGACAAAGATATCATGTTATGAGACGAACAATACCGTTTATCGTATTATTTGCAATGACGGTGATATTTCCTATGTAGCCCAAATAACTAGACAATTCAAAATTCGGATCAAGAAACATAAAATCAATTATCACGCAATACTAAAAAATTATCCGTTGTTTCCCGGCATAAACTAGAAGGACATGAATTTGATTGGGGGAAGGTTAAAATCCTAGAAGAAGAAAGATCCTATATTAAAACAAGTGTGTCTGAAATGAAGACACCCTGAATTAAGTAAGGATTAAGTAAGGACTCCCTGAGATTAAGTACTGACCAATCATCGAGATACTTTCTATTATTTGATATATTACTTTTGTGTATATTCTCATGTTGGATGGTTTAAGATATATTTATAAACATGACTACTTATTATACCGCGTTGTCCAGATTGATCTGAACTAGCGATTAGAATCTTTGTTCTTGATGACTCCAAGATTATTGTATGTTAGGTAAGAGATGTTTAAATTTTTATAATTCCTAAACAATTTTTCTTTTTTTTAATTTTTATCCTTGTTTCATGGTTTGCCCAGTGTTTTAAGGCAACATATATAAGATTTTTTAGAGCTACATTAATATTGCGCTCATTATTCATATAATTAATTTATCCACACTCGGAAAAGAGTCCGAATATAGGACCGAAACATTTGTAAAATTAATACAGTTAAATTTTCATCTATTATTATTATTCGCTTTTCCATCATTCCAAATTTTGGCTCTTAATTGCCTCAAAATCTTTTTTAGTGATTGAATATTTATAAGAGAGCCCATTTCAATATTTTGTAATTTGTTACATAAAATTCTATTTGAGCAAACAGCAATTTTAGTCAAAACCGACGCCTACTTTCTAAGAAAACAGGGAATCATTACAAATCATTACAAATACTTAGATAACCTCAACAAGGATGGTGTATTAAGATTTAGTTCTGTTTGGTAAAGCATTCTCTCAGTCTTCCAGAAAGGTTTATTCCACGGCGTGGGATAATTCTACAGGAGACCAATGACCACACCCTCCCCCTATCATCGTCCTGACCCCCTTCTCTCACTATACCCCCCTTCCTACCCTCCATCCCAAACCACCGCAGAACCTCTTTTCTTATAAAAGAAGACACCTCGCAGGAAAGCGGCAGTTTCAGATCGCCCTACTCTCTGAAAAAGTAAATTGAAATGTTCATGAAACATCGGAACAAACATAAGGAAGACGCGGTTCAAATTCGGAAAATACGTAAAAGAGAGGTAAGGTAAAAGTATTAATGCCTGGATAAGTACTTAATCTTGGACATTCTTATTGTTTTAATCTTCTCTCTCTCTCAAATATGAGTATTTAAACTTTCAATATAAAGAACAGATATACATATATTGAACATATATATATGTTTTATGTTGGAAGTTTACGTATTTGTGTTTAAAGACCGAAACGACAAGAATGTGTTCAGGATTAAGTACACACATATGTTTAGAAATTGATATTTTTACTTTACTGATTTAAGAATACTATGAAATCAAATCTGTAAAATTCATTTTACAAATATTTCAGTTTTATGTTTGGACACACAATGAATTCACACAATGAATATCTAATAATAAAATCAGAAGGTCCAAAAATCGTCTGTAGTTATAAGAAATTAAGTTAAACCTGTAGTTAAATAATTTTAATATTTATGTTGTTAATATTTCTGAATGCCTTCGCCAACGTAATAATGGAACGTCACAATCAGTTTTGACTTCGACACGTCAATATGTTCGAATCATATCTCACGCATAAATATCGTCATATTCATATTTGTAGATTAGACATTAGAAACGTCTAATCTAATTAGTATTGAGTCATCCTGGAAAATTAATGTTCTCATTAAAACGAAGTATACCATTGCATTTTCATTACGTGAGAGCGGTATCTACTATTTTCGCAATTTGCAATATCTCGATCCTTTATCGTCGCTACTTTTCCCGATTTTGAGCACACGCATCCATGAGATATTCCGTATCATTTATCGATTTTGTGTTATATCGTCCACGCACGACCGCTAAAAACATTGGCGTAATATTCACGGTCGGGAACTCGACCATCTCCCCTCGCGGTCTTTGCGGTACTTGATGTGCCATCGAAACTAGCCGATATCACTGCTCCGCCGTAATACGGTTTAACCGCGTGTGCCGCTATCGCGCTGTGTGAACTGGACGATCAGAATCGGTCAAGCGACTGGAAGCCGCTTCAAGTATCGGCCCCGAAGTCGTTCCATCGACGCGAGATGGAACGTACGCGCGAGGATAAGAGCAGCTTGGTCGCTTGGTCGGTAGGTCGGTCGGTTGGTCGGTTAGTTCAGATCGAGCGCGGAACCAGCATAAGCGGATGCGGCTCGCCCTGAAACGAGAGACGCGCGAGATATGCTCTCGTTTCGGCCGTTCGAGAGAACGTGGTGGTCAATACGAAATTAAAGCGGGGGAGGGAGGAGCGAAGAGGAGGAGGAGAGAGTCCGGTGGGCTGCGGCCCCCAGGACTGACGTGCATCGACGGTCATGACGGTCTCGCTGCAGCAGGTCCCATCGTGGTCCCCCGCGATTAATGAGATGTAAACAATTTAACGCTAAATTAAACGCAACAATAGGTTCTGCCTCTGTCCCTCTGTCTTCCTCCTTCTCCCCTTTTCTGTCTTCCTCGCTCTCGCCTGGCGAAGCCCTCTCGGCTGAGTTTCGGGCGAGCACCGGTTCACCCGATATAATCGGACGCCCGAGGTGGACTGTCCGCGGTGCGCTCTTTACGGACCATCAGTTCCTTCTCGGTTTCAAACGAGGTCCGCCGACGGCCAGGCCGGTCGCGATTTTATCGGGAAACGCACCGAAAGTAAAACAATACGTTATGGGACGTTTCTCGCTCCATCTCTTTACGGTCCCGACCTTCTCTCGGGTACGGTGCGACGTCCATTGCACCGGTATCGTTCGGTGTCTTATCTATGAGAGGACAGCAGCCGCTCCTTCGCCTTTACGTTTAGAACGCTCGAATTTTATGATCCATACGAAAGCTCAATGTTCGACTTGTTAAGAGGATACTGGATACCGACATAACGTAGCTTCGTATTTTGCACTGCTTTTTCCACTTGGTTGTGTAGAATTGCAAATGCTTACGCAGAGAGAAAAAACAAACATCAAAGAATGGCGGTGTACCTCATGTTACATAGAAAACGAAGAAAATTTTGTAACCAATTTTTATCTTTTATATTTGTACTTTCGCTCTATATACGCATTTGCGATTTTGTACAACCAAATTGAAAAATAGTGCAGAATACGAAGGATGCATTACGTCAATATCTAGATATAGTATCCCCTTAATACTAGAATGTTCGATAATTTCTTTAGATGCCTGAAAGAGTTATTTTGACACCTCTTGTAATTTTAATATTTGAAAACTCTCTCTGTTTCTCAGTCCCTCAGTGAGTGTTTCATTCAGTCCCTCATTCATTCGCATCAATGATAACTTCTTAACATGAAAAGGACATAATTTGCAAAATGTAGATTTATATATTATAAACAAATTACAACAATTTTCATCATCTTTCCAAACTTATAATTTCTTATAATAAGATGCAACCTAATTATTATCTAAAGTAAATGTCCTAGTGATTGAATGTATACCGATAATTGAATTATTAATAATATATTTGTGTTTGTTAAGATGCTTGTCAATAAATGAAACAAAATCACAAAGTAACTAAATATTTTTTTTCATTTATTATATTGTTTTGTATATTGAAAAGCATTTTAATAAAGAAAATACAAAACTAATATATTAATCATTGGGACATGTATGTTCGATCACTGGGACGTTTACCTTACTTGCCCTTTATAATTAATATACGGATGAAATATTGTAGTACAATATTTATGT